ATTTACAAGAGCGAATTTTAATGATGAAAAATGGATTCGCTCAACATATTGACATGTGTAACAAAATGATCTATACGAGGCTCAATTACATTTATTATTTTGTATAACAGTACTTTCCGTGATATCAGAATATTTAAACGTTGAAATGTTGGCACGCTCGAGATTTCAGAACGGGAAGATCACAAAAGCCGAACAATTGTACTACAAGTTCCTGATTCCACGTGGCATTCACAGCATCATACACGACCAGAGCTCACTATTGCTTGACTACAGTGAAGACAAAGCTCCGTCACGAGAAGGCAATTATAAGTTGATTTGCGTTATATATTACAAAAACAGATACTTTCAATACTTTACAAAACAAATCAGATGAGATGATTGTTGAAGTACAGTACACAAATCACTGGAAAAAAGGCATCCATCACAATCTATTTATATGAATCACAAGTATTAAATCAGAAATTTCACAAGAATGTTTGAACATGAATCATAATATTTCGATAATGTTAATAAGTTTCAAATAGAAATAACAAAACTTTTGAGTTTTTACAAAATATATCGCACGATGTTCAAATATTGCAAAGTTTAACATGCCATAGTTATACAATAATCATGTTTGTTCCATTTTAATCATTTCTCGTTTTGTTTAAAACCGCATCCCATATCCATCATTCGCTGCAACCGTTCTTGTGCAAAAAAGCAGTCTTACGACTAGGCAGACATAAAAAGTGATTTACAACTACAGTAAAACCTTTCCCATCTATGATATTCTGTATACTGTAAGCAAATCTGTAACTTATGACACTTTACATAGTTAAAGCTGTTCAAACATTTGACATTCTAGCTATAAAGTGTAACAACCGCTTACCTGTAATATTCTATTTGATTCACATGTGTGTAACATTAACTTGAAAATTCTATATAGAGTAAGTTATCGCTCACCTGTGATATTTTACATCTGTATACTGTGTAAGCATTCGGTAACCTATGACATTATAAATCATGGAAGATATCGCTAACCTGTGATATTCTATATCTGTATACCGTGTAAGCAGTCGGTAACCTATGACATTATGTATCATGGAAGATATCGCTAACCTGTGATTTTCTACATCTGTACACTGTGTAAGTAGTCGGTAACCTATGACATTATATATCATGGAAGTTATCGCTAACCTGTGATATTCTACATCTGTATACTGTGTAAGTAGTCGGTAACCTATGACATTATAAATCATGGAAGATATCGCTCACCTGTGATATTCTACATCTGTATACTGTGTAAGCATTCGGTAACCTATGACATTATAAATCATGAAAGATATCGCTAACCTGTGATATTCTACATCTGTATACTGTGTAAGCATTCGGTAACCTATGACATTATATATCATGGAAGTTATCGCTCACCTGTGATATTCTATATCTGTATACCGTGTAAGCAGTCGGTAACCTATGACATTATATATCATGGAAGTTATCGCTAACCTGTGATATTCTACATCTGTACACTGTGTAAGCAGTCGGTAACCTATGACATTATATATCATGGAAGATATCGCTAACCTGTGATATTCTACATCTGTACACTGTGTAAGCAGTCGGTAACCTATGACATTATATATCATGGAAGATATCGCTAACCTGTGATATTCTACATCTGTACACTGTGTAAGCAGTCGGTAACCTATGACATTATATATCATGGAAGATATCGCTAACCTGTGATATTCTACATCTGTACACTGTGTAAGCAGTCGGTAACCTATGACATTATATATCATGGAAGATATCGCTAACCTGTGATATTCTACATCTGTACACTGTGTAAGCAGTCGGTAACCTATGACATTATATATCATGGAAGATATCGCTAACCTGTGATATTCTACATCTGTACACTGTGTAAGCAGTCGGTAACCTATGACATTATATATCATGGAAGATATCGCTAACCTGTGATATTCTACATCTGTACACTGTGTAAGCAGTCGGTAACCTATGACATTATATATCATGGAAGATATCGCTAACCTGTGATATTCTACATCTGTACACTGTGTAAGCATTCGGTAACCTATGACATTATATATCATGGAAGATATCGCTAACCTGTGATATTCTACATCTGTACACTGTGTAAGCATTCGGTAACCTATGACATTATATATCATGGAAGATATCGCTAACCTGTGATATTCTACATCTGTACACTGTGTAAGCATTCGGTAACCTATGACATTATATATCATGGAAGATATCGCTAACCTGTGATATTCTACATCTGTACACTGTGTAAGCATTCGGTAACCTATGACATTATATATCATGGAAGATATCGCTAACCTGTGATATTCTACATCTGTACACTGTGTAAGCAGTCGGTAACCTATGACATTATATATCATGGAAGATATCGCTAACCTGTGATATTCTACATCTGTACACTGTGTAAGCAGTCGGTAACCTATGACATTATATATCATGGAAGATATCGCTAACCTGTGATATTCTACATCTGTACACTGTGTAAGCAGTCGGTAACCTATGACATTATATATCATGGAAGATATCGCTAACCTGTGATATTCTACATCTGTACACTGTGTAAGCAGTCGGTAACCTATGACATTATATATCATGGAAGATATCGCTAACCTGTGATATTCTACATCTGTACACTGTGTAAGCAGTCGGTAACCTATGACATTATATATCATGGAAGATATCGCTAACCTGTGATATTCTACATCTGTACACTGTGTAAGCAGTCGGTAACCTATGACATTATATATCATGGAAGATATCGCTAACCTGTGATATTCTACATCTGTACACTGTGTAAGCAGTCGGTAACCTATGACATTATATATCATGGAAGATATCGCTAACCTGTGATATTCTACATCTGTACACTGTGTAAGCAGTCGGTAACCTATGACATTATATATCATGGAAGATATCGCTAACCTGTGATATTCTACATCTGTACACTGTGTAAGCAGTCGGTAACCTATGACATTATATATCATGGAAGATATCGCTAACCTGTGATATTCTACATCTGTACACTGTGTAAGCAGTCGGTAACCTATGACATTATATATCATGGAAGATATCGCTAACCTGTGATATTCTACATCTGTACACTGTGTAAGCAGTCGGTAACCTATGACATTATATATCATGGAAGATATCGCTAACCTGTGATATTCTACATCTGTACACTGTGTAAGCAGTCGGTAACCTATGACATTATATATCATGGAAGATATCGCTAACCTGTGATATTCTACATCTGTACACTGTGTAAGCAGTCGGTAACCTATGACATTATATATCATGGAAGATATCGCTAACCTGTGATATTCTACATCTGTACACTGTGTAAGCAGTCGGTAACCTATGACATTATATATCATGGAAGATATCGCTAACTTGTGATATTCTACATCTGTACACTGTGTAAGCAGTCGGTAACCTATGACATTATATATCATGGAAGATATCGCTAACCTGTGATATTCTACATCTGTACACTGTGTAAGCAGTCGGTAACCTATGACATTATATATCATGGAAGATATCGCTAACCTGTGATATTCTACATCTGTACACTGTGTAAGCAGTCGGTAACCTATGACATTATATATCATGGAAGATATCGCTAACCTGTGATATTCTACATCTGTATACCGTGTAAGTAGTTGGTAACCTATGATATTATAAATCATGGAAGATATCGCTAACCTGTGATATTCTACATCTGTTAACTGTGTAAGCAGTCGGTAACCTATGACATTATAAATCATGGAAGATATCGCTAACCTGTGATATTCTATATCTGTATACCGTGTAAGCAGTCGGTAACCTATGACATTATATATCATGGAAGTTATCGCTCACCTGTGATATTCTACATCTGTACACTGTGTAAACAGTCGGTAACCTATGACATTATAAATCATGGAAGATATCGCTAACCTGTGATTTTCTACATCTGTACACTGTGTAAGCAGTCGGTAACCTATGACATTATAAATCATGGAAGATATCGCTAACCTGTGATATTCCTTTTCGTGAAAGCTACATAAAATGCTAACTTTAGACAAATTGTGTAAATTATCCCTAAATTTGTGGCATTCCTTTTCGTGAAATCTACAAAATATGCTAACCTTTGACAAATTGTGTAAATCCTCGCTAAAGGACCTGTTACAGGNATTCCTTATCGTGAAAGCTACATAATATGCTAATCTTTAACAAATTTGGTAAATTATCGCTAAATCTGTGACATTCCTTTTCCGGAAAGCTTCATAAAATGCTAACCTATGACAAATTGTGTAAATAATCGCTAAATATGTGACAATCCTTTGGGTGAAAGCTACATTTGTACATTGTATGCTAACCTATGACATATTTTGCAAGTTATCCCTAACCTAAGAATTCAATGTTATGTAAGATATCGTTAACATATGACATTGACGGAAGCTATTTTAACCTATAACAATTATTCTACATGGAGTAGGTTATCACTGATAAGAGACACCGATACATAAACCTTCGCTACTCTCAGTCTCCGGCTTGTCTATCGCATGACATCTGATTTAATTAAAACATCAAACCCGAATCTCACGCGAAAGCGATGCTATTGAATTGATCTGTTTGGCATGTGTCATTTCGCATATTGCCATCTAAAGTAATCGATTCAAAGTTTGGATTGTTTAGAGGGTGAACATAAACGCATATACTCAGCAAACATTCACGCCCCTGAACTTTAGTTAAACGATGGAAAATCAACTTCTTTGCCGAATGGCAACTTTTTCCGCAATTATACAAATGCAAATGTTTTCCTGAAGCCATGCTTGTTTATGATATTTCTTTATTACATAACACAAAATGCGTTATAATGAAACTGATAAATACATATACAACATCAGGGCTGTACCGAGATCGATAGCTAGGTAGGCACCACTAAGCCTAGTCCCACCCACAGCACACGCTCTATGAAAGGCACCTTAGCAAAGACTTTCGAATGACCACCCAATGTATTATTAGTATAAAGATGTTTGAAAGGCTGATGTCAAGGTCGGGAGAGACAGCTACTAGTCAGTGTGTATGACGACAGCGCCGGAGAGGCTGGATACATAGGCTGAATACAGGAACTCACACGTGCTTTCCAGCAGCGTATGTATAACCTGGCCCTTATGTAAATAGCGCTATTATGACAACATATGGTGGATGTCAATAGTGTAGTCAGCGACGCTCACTTCGTCAAGCGGAAGAGTTTAAATGGATTGTCTCTCAGATTTCATTACTGGCTAACAACTTTTGCTTATCCAGGAGACGGATTCAGTTACAAGAAATGAGGAAAAAACACATCACTAATTCCAATATAGCATCCAATGTGTGTTCAATGGAGGTGTACATAATCTACTTCTAAACCGTACAGAGTAATCAACAGTGATAAGACATGCAGGTAGTGTACAGTGGGGGGTCGACCCCAAGCCCCTCCCCTCGGCTCCACCGTAAACAGTACACGGGGTACGGGCGTCCCGTCCAGCCCGGGTATGTGCTGGGGCCACCTCCTGTTACTACAATGCATCGCAGCCCCTCCAGGGAGAAAAATCCCCCCATCGAGGAGGACGATTCCAGTTTAAGGGACTCGATACCTGTGATGAGTAAACCATTGGCTATCACCTGTCTCATCTGTAATATAGTACTACCAGGCTTAGGTAAGTCTTCTATCTTATCTGTAATATAGTACTACCAGGCTTAGGTAAATCATCTGTCTCATCTGTAATATAGTACTACCAGGCTTAGGTAAGTATCCTGTCTCATCTGTAATATAGTGCTACCAGGCTTATCTAAGTCATTTATCTCATCTGTAATATAGTAATACCAGGCTTAGGTAAGTCACCTGTCTCATCTGTAATATAGTGCTACCAGGCTTAAGTAAGTCATCTATCTCATCTGTAATATAGTACTATCAGGCTTAAGTAAGTCATCTGTCTCATCTGTAATACAGTGCTACCAGGCTTAGATAAGTCATCTGTCTCATCTGTAATATAGTGCTACCAGGCTTAGGTAAGTCATCTGTCTCATCTGTAATGTAGTGCTACCAGGCTTAGGTAAGTTACCTGTATCATCTGTAATATAGTGCTACCATGCTTAGGTAAGCCAGCTGTCTCATCTGTAATATAGTGCTACCAGGCTTAGGTAAATCACCTGTGTCATCTGTAATATAGTTCTACCAGGCTTAGGATACTCTGCCGTCTCGTAAGGTAACATTTACTACTACGAGACTTAAGTTCTACAACCATCGTATCCATGATGGATCACATTCCATTGTATATAAATCGATTACAGATTACAATGACAATAAAGAAGATAGGATAATGACTTTCTTGAATCAGAAATTGTTACCTTGTGTTCAATACTGTGTAATAACATCATCTCATAAATCTACATGTAGCATCTGTATTATCATTTATTGTGACGTCACAGGAATAATACAATGTCACAAATGTGAGCCAACAGTTGTGATTTCTCCAATCTCAATAGGTATGTTTATATGTTTTAGTACAGTATCTGATATAAGGAATCTCCCAATTTACTAAAGCTCTTTTCATAAATCTGTGTAACAGAGAAACGTATCCTCTATTTTTAGGTTAATTCCTACAGAATAAATATGAATAATTCTCTATAAACTTTCGCAGAGAGCATAAACCTATCCAGCGATAATATTTTCCGACAAACTGTTGTATCGTCTGAGGCTATTTCAGTGCTGGTATTATGACATCGCTATTACGGCCAAGTCCACTAGCATAGCCGCTACCAAAAGCAAACCATTCGGAGTTTGAATTGAGCGCTTTTGTTTCATTATTTAAGTACAGTCGGAAAAATGATAATTTTACTGTTTTATGTTGCAGCCACTATGTGAAAATATTAAGCTATAAAATTCGCGAGACTAAAACAATGCTGTTAACTTTGATTCTTGTGTCCAAGCTTCTAATCTCTTGTTTAATGCTACTGAATCAATCACATTTCTATTACATGCGAGTCTATTACCAATTGTGTTCTTGTTATGGAGTCGCTTTGAATTAAAATAATTTTATAATTTTATTTAATATACAATGGTGTTACTAAAATCAAAACTCATGCTTACATGTACAAACTCAGATTAATCACCTTTTGCCGGTATATCGTTTTAGTAAAATCTTAATATGTGATTTTACAATGACCGTGCCCTGAACACAAACGAGAATGTATGAATGGCAGTATAGAAAAACTATCAAGAAGGAATTCGGAAAGCAGACCGTTAAGTTTTAGCGTAAGGGAAATATAGTGGCTAGATTAACGACGCTCAACTGGTTAGTCAATGAAAATCAAATTTTTCTCTCAAACCAGTATTCTAACACGATTCGTTCAAACCCAAATTTCATGTTCTAATCGCCAGTATAGCCACTCAAAACAACGTACTATCCCCTAATTATTATAGACAAGTCACAACGATAAATAACACGATTGTCTTATTTGCAACGTTTGATTGCTTCGGCAGTCAATTTCCTATAACAAACAGGTCTAGTATAAATCATTAACGGATTTGTGCCAGATGATTCCCCGAATATGACTTTTTATGAGCATTGGGACATGGCCTCAACAAGATAATGTCTAGCGGTCACTGACACCACGGGACCGGTCAAACAATGCAACACAAAAAACAAATGGATCGAAGTGTAACCCCGCTACCTATTGTTATTTAAGGTGTTTTTGATGGCCAACACCGTAGTTACTATCCACTCAAACTTGTGTGATACGTACAGACTCGACTGCTCATCTACAAAACACGACTTTGATTCCCTATTTGTATAACAACTAATAAACGTGAATCCCTAGTCATGCTTAATGATTTTGAGTTTAATATTACAATATTACATGAAGATAAGGAGGTACATTTAAGATGATCTAATGTTTAATTAGAAAAAAATATTTGTATTTGTGCAATATATTTGTGCAACAAACCAAAATCGTCCTGAAAATCCAATACCACATATCTAGTAGTCTGACCAACTCTATATCAATTGTCCCTGATAAAATTAATCTCTGCTAAAGCAATGTAGGCAATGATCAAGAGAAGTCATTTTTTATTGAATAAATCTGGTTCCGTCAAGATCTCTAACCCTGTCAAGAAAGAGAAAGACACTGAATTTGTCGAGTTAGATAATAACGTTTTCTCTATTTAATGAGATAAAAACCTTTGCATACATTTCCACAAAATTAAGATATCATTAACTGACACATTAAAACAAAAAAATGTTCTATAAACTCTATCGATGTGAAAGAACAAGTGTTTATTTTTTTCGGTAAGAATAAGTTTCATAAGATATCTTACTGAATCGGAAATAAATTGCCGAGACGTGCCATTTTTTTCTCAGGACGAGGTATCTGTGCAAACTAACCTCTTCTGTTGTAATTAGTTGTAAGGTCTGGCGAATGTCTTTAATAAAAACTTGTGTGTGTAATAAACCGGTGTCAATTTCATTCTTTTGCTGTGTCATGCCCTTGTTATTCAGGTGGTTACAACGCTGTTCGGTAACCTGTAAACCGTATATAAACATTAGGATACGTGTAGTATGTCTTTGCAGGTGGATACCTTGACGGTCACAGAAATCTCTTTTTGAGTAGTGACCGGGTTTATAATTTTTGAAATCATAATAATTAAGTGGTTTTAGGCTCCTTCTCTTTTGCTTCAACAGCCCATTTTGAGTTCCACCTTAATGGCCCCTAGCGTCACCGATGAGTCCTACCCTGCAGGACGAAACAGCTGTAGGATGCAGTGTGATTTTACCAAGCTGTATCGATGCAATCACATGTGTGTGTTATGTCTACTGTGATAAGCTCTATCGTCTCTTTATTGTCGATTCAAACCCATATGTATTTATAGATTATATTTAGATACGTGCAGTGTTTTATATCAGGTAACAAATGGAATGTATATATATGTTTATTCTGTAATAATGAAACAGTGCTGGATTTGTGATAAACCATGTCTCAGTTGCCGCGATTCGAAATAATTTATATTCACATTTTGCCTTTCGGAAGGCATTGTTTGGACAAATCTCCGAGGTTAACGGATGTTTACCATTAAACACGGATTCATTTGAACTACTTACAATTATCCATCGGATTAGTGACATTGTTTTTTTCTTTGGTGTTTTTACTTTCTGATGCCTAGACGAGATAACCTGCCGTCGTATCGTTTATTTTTTCAGTAGTCTTTGATCTCCGATACTATGTGTTTTTGAAGCGAAGCCTAGCGGATCCAGAGTAGAAAAACTACTACAGATAATTCGATCTATTACGAACCACACAACGGATCAAAATATTTGCTCAACTGTATTCAGAAGTCAATAACCATTTCATTAATTCTAATTGAAATTCGGAGTTAGCTCTATTTTGACGGAATTGTTGGTGGGGGCGGGGCATCAAATTAGGTTGATTTGATGAAATATGAGATAGTTATTTTTTATGAAATGAAAGCTTAAAAACTTTCCCTCAAAATTAGCCGTGAGCGATAACAAGATGTCGAATGTTCTGAAACCATTCAGAAAATAGGCAAAACGTCGCCTCGAATCACTGCTATCATACTTAAACCATAAACTGACACAGAACTGACATTGGCCACGAGCACAACACACGAGCACTACACACGATCGCACTACACACGAGCACTATATTGGCCACGAGCACTACACACGAGCACTACACACCAGCACTACACACCAGCACTACATTGGCCACGAGCACTACGCACCAGCACTACACACGAGCACTACACACCAGCACTACACACCAGCACTACATTGGCCACGACCACTACACACCAGCACTACACACGAGCACTACACACCAGCACTACACACCAGCACTACATTGGCCACGAGCACTACGCACCAGCACTACACACGAGCACTACACACCAGCACTACACACCAGCACTACATTGGCCACGACCACTACACACCAGCACTACACACGAGCACTACACACCAGCACTACATTGGCCACGAGCACTACACACCTACACACGAGCACTACACACCAGCACTACATTGGCCACGAGCACTACACACCTACACACGAGCACTACACACCAGCACTACATTGGCCACGAGCACTACACACCAGCACTACACAAGAGCACTACACACCAGCACTACACACCAGCACTACATTGGCCACGAGCACTACGCACCAGCACTACACACGAGCACTACACACCAGCACTACACACCAGCACTACATTGGCCACGACCACTACACACCAGCACTACACACGAGCACTACACACCAGCACTACACACCAGCACTACATTGGCCACGAGCACTACACACGAGCACTACACACCAGCACTACATTGGCCACGAGCACTACACACGAGCACTATATTGGCCACGAGCACTACACAAGAGCACTACACACGACACGAGCACTACACACGAGCACTTTATTGGCCACGAGCACTACACACGAGCACTACATTGGCCACGAGCACTACATTGGCTACGAGCACTACATTGGCCACGAGCACTACACACCAGCACTACACACCAGCACTACATTGGCCACGAGCACTCCATTTCCTTTGTACAATCCTTAGAAAACCTACCAACCAAAAAATAATGTTAAAATCCAATATGGTTTTCTGATTGGAACTGTTCGGTTTTTCCG